TGCCTATTTCTCGTTGTTCGCTTTGTGTTGCCGCAGTATTCGCCACAATACTATACCACGGTGCAGCGAACAAAGGTGGCGCCGTCAGTGGTACCGCTACTTTGGTTTTGCCGATTTTGACAGTTGTGGTAACTTGTAAATAAACCTTTGTTTACAAATCAGCGAAAGAGAAATATGAATTATAAGTGAAAAATCAGTTTGAATTGTGTTAATTTGCAATTTGTGAGTGATTTTTGAGTTGAAGACTGCGTAAAAACGAATACAATGAAGTGATGTGTGTTAAATTGCGACAGCCGTCAAGATGCAAGAAGCGTAGATGCAAGTGTAGCGCTGGGACGAATCGCGGCATTTTGTGTACATAGGGCACGGCAAAGCCGTTCCCGAAATATTTCTCTATTATTATATTAACAGCAATTCCTCACAATGATTTTGTTTCTGCTCCACGCAGCCTCCATTAGCAAGTTAACTAATCAATCCCGCAGAGATGCTGCTGCAGTTTTCTGCAGCAGCCTTAATTGCAAAGCAATGGGGTGTACTAAAACGTTTGCTGAAGCAGCCTCAATTGCAAAGCAATGGAGTGCACTAAAATGTTCACTGTTCTCTAATAGATTAGGTGAAAAATGCAATATTTTCGCATTTAGCAAAATTAAAACACGTTTTTCGCTGTAAAGTGAACTGCTTTGGCAGTTTCAACTCGTTCTTCTTTTCGCTCTATTCGTTGTTTACTTGTGGTACAAAAATGTCAACGCCCAGGACGGCGCAATCTTGTATTCTATCATTCTTGATACTATACGGCCCTTAATACGTAAGCTATTTGCAAATAAAAATGATTTGCAAATACCTAACTCACTGTTATATGACCATCGAAGAAGAAAATAAAACTAAAAATGGCAACGTCTTGATTATAAAAAGGCAATAAGATGAGCATCGAAAAAGAAAATAGACCTAAAAATGGCAGCGTCTTGTGCTTATTTGCAAATGGTATCACTAATCAATATTTATTTGCGTGATTTAGTTATTTGCAAATAAAAAATTAACTCAGCGTGTACCATTTGCAAATTGTTATTTGCAAATAAGACGTGCGTATAAACGTAGTTATACCCAAGTACACGCGGCCCTTAATGCATGTAACGAAAATACTCCACTTTATATTACATTTACATTGAGCCCAAATGCGTCATTTGGGCGAGAAACCTCAAATGCGAGGCCAAATCACGCATTTCTCCATACAAATTCACATTTCCAGAATGACGCATTTCGACGCATTTACACAAAATCACGAAACAAATGCTTTCCAATTGCCGTACTATTATATTGAACGCACTCAGAAACAAAAGTTCCACAAAAGCTTTGGTTTGTCTTTTGTCTTTGACATTTGGAATTTTTCAAACACAAAACAAACACAACGAAATAAATAAATCTTTGAAATTTGTGTGTAAAAATTGTTAATTTATACAAGAGCTTTACACATTTTTAGTTTAATCAAAGAATAATTGCCTTTTTGTGTCCAAAAAGCGTTAACAATATAATAAATGTAGTGTTTGTTTACATACATTTTGTTTTTGTCTTCCCTTTTCATTTCATGAGAAGTCAAAGCAAATGCGGATCAAGCAGAGTAAACACCTTCAAATGACTGATTTCAAATCACGTATTTTGGTCCAATGTAAATGTAATATTAGTTTGTATCCGTGGACTGCATTACCTACAGGCGTCACATACAAAACAACATTGGTGTGAAAGAGATAACCGATCTTGACGGGATTTTGAGAATATTCGAATGAATGACTTGAGGAATTCTGGATGTAAATCCCGTTAGCTAATTTTTTAGAAGAAGCTTTATTAAATAAAATAATAATTATTACAAAAACACGTTATTTTTTATTCTCATAATTATGCATTCTAACAAATTTTGTTATATCCAAGTTTGAATAACGATGTAGAGAACATTCTTTAGCTTTATTAATTTTACATTAACTCTGGCAGAGCACAAAATGAGGAGAAGATTTATTTATCACCCTATACTTCCGGTAGTGCATCCCAGTGACGTCCGGTAATGCATTCCAGTGGAAGTTTTGTGATCTATCCCTGTTCTGACATTCATTGTTTCCAGTGTTGTTTTCTTTGATTGATTTCGACTCGCGAGGTGAGCAGCCGAATATTTAATTTTCAGTTTTTATAGTTGGAAATTTGCGAAAAGCAAGTAACTAAAAACCATCAAAAATCAACTTCCTTGCAATATCTAATTTTTGTCAGCAATTATTTACATTTATATATTTGCTTTGGTTATTGTGTGTTGGGCGTTTCCATGGGCCAGAGAAATTGTTTGGCTTGGGGAAAAAAGTGGTTGTGCTGTGAAAGTGTTGAAATATGTAATTTAAAATTTATAGCTTGAACCTAAATAAGCTCCAGGAAGCTTAAGTTAACAAAGAAAGTGTCCAATGTATTTGTAAAGGTGCACTCTTTAACAACGTATTGTTCCGGTAATGAAAAATCGAAAAAAGACCAATTCTGCTGACGCGATTGTTACTCCGTTTTGGGCACATCTGTCGTATGCAGTACCTACCGATCTCTTTCTTTGTTTCGTGCAAATCTTCGTTTTATGGTCGACTCTTTTGGCCAATTTCAGTAGTTGCCAAATTTTTCGTTGTAAAGAACATTGTAAAACCTCAAAACCAAGTTTAGAAGATTTCTTCTGTATGTAGGATAAGTGAATAATCTGTACTGCTCTGCCTATGTAAACCTGTCCAATGTCAGATAGCTTGTCATACATGTCGTCAGCATGGCAATGCATCATCATTTAGAAACCGTCCAAGTCACACAAGCATACCACGCACAGCAGCGCTCATTCATTCCGACCAAGTCTGCGTGTACTTTTTTATACACCTAGTATTGCCATAAAAGTTAACAAGAAATTAGCATGGCTACAACTACGCCGATGGCAAAGGCAGAAAATGCATCGAAACACCCACAACAAGTACAACTAGCAGAGGCTGGTGAAGCTGAACATCAACAAACAAACTATAATGTTGTTAATATTGTGGCGGAAGATGCATCGACAAAAAATGGGTGCGTCACACAGACAGCTGTGCAGGAGGTAATTGACGAAGTGGAGCAACACACCCAAATGAAAACAAATAATATCGCACCCGGTTCGGATACGGGACCAGCGGAAGCAGAAGCAACGTCAGCTACACCTGCTGCCACCACTTTGTCAGTAATGGTCGTGAATGATGCACCAGAGACTCGTCTTTGTGGCCAAAAACTGTTTTTGTGTCGGCGCTTTAAGAACTGTGGCGAAATTTTGCGTAACTTCAATTCCCTGCCACTATTCGTTTACGCGACGTCGCCGTCTACACACGCCATTTCAGCCGATGGCGTGGGTGTGGCCAAAGAGGCTGTTGCAGTTGCAGCTGCAGGTGTATTGGGTCATAAGGTAAGTGAATATTAAACCAAATTGCAAATTTGTCTAACCTTTATTTATGCAATAATAACACATATTGTAGCAAGGTAATTAAATTTTCGCAGACGACACATTTAACGGATTTAATTGATAAGAATCTTAACTAATGTCCGGTTGCACCAATCAATTTAAAATTTATCAGCCTGTTTTTTTTTTTTTTGAAATTTAAGTTATCTACTCATAAACTTATACAAGGCCGGATAATTATTTGGCTCAACTAACAAGTTATAAAGCCATAACAAAAATACAATAAAAAACTAACAGATTTTCCGAACAGAATTGTACGAGTTTAAATTTTAATAGTCTGATAAATATTAAAATTGATTGGTGAAAATGGGGATAAGAAAAATTTTAAATTTTACGGAAAAATAATGCAAACTATGGGAGTTATAACCTGTCAAAGTGACACGTACTAAAAGATCGCATTGATTTTTGGCATTTTTTAACACATTTTCTTCCATAAAAAGTATGTTCGACAATTTTTTTTGTATGGAAAAATGTACGTAATACATTCGGAATAGAAAAAGAAATAAATAAAATAATAGAAACGCGATTTTTTAGGAACTTCAAACTTGCTCTTTATTCTATTAAAATTTAATAGGCTATAAAACTGCATACTCAAAAATATTCTTTAAAACCTGATTAAAAGTTTGAAAATATAGCATCAATTTTGCAGAATCATATAATTTTTGCACAAAGTTTCAAATATAAATTTATATGGTTTTTGTTAGATAATGAAAAATAAGAAAAATTTGTTAAAATGTCGTGTCTTGTTTATTTTTCCACCACTGTATATAGAAAACGAAAAATTGGCGGCTGGGTCTGCATTTTTAGAAGTTATTACATTCTTACTATCTGCGGTAAAAAATATGCCTTTTTTAATTTTTTTTTCATTATCGCTTTTTTACGAACATTTGATTATGTGGTGGGCCGTGTCTGAAAACCGATCTGTACCAAATTGTCATATTTTTACTGATTGAAATAACATAAAGCTACGTACCAAATTTCATTAAAATCGAAGCTCTTTTAAGTTCTCCGCTCACCAGGGTACTTGTATCTTCTTTGCCATATATCAGATTTCTTCTTTCTGCCATACATGAAAAGCCTGTAATGAATTATAACGAAATTGGATCACGTTGACTTTGGGATATGTGATCGCGACACTGCGACATGGAGCCTTTACAAAAACTTTTTTGGTCCTACGATTCCGGACAAATTTTTTTTTTGTTGCAATGGTATCAAATGAATGATGATAACATCCCACCTGCTCTTCTATTTCAACAAATTTTTTTTTTTTTCAAAATTAGCTTCCGGTCTGATTGACAATAGTTTACGTATTTTGATTTGTTGGTATCTTATTCGCCCCTGAGCCATTCCATCCTCATTAAGCAACGTTGTAAAGCTCTAAAAAGCGGTAATTTGTTGAAGTGCTTCGCTGCGCACCTGCTGCATCTAAAATTATTTTGCGTCCATATTTTTTACTTTACTGCAGTTTAATGTACATACATTATTTTCCAATACATGTACTTACATACACATGTACATACAAACAAACTTATTTAGTACATACATACGAATATATTTTAATTCACTTTTTGTGTGTGCTCTGCACTAAATATATACATATTACATATGTAGTTTCGATACATGAATGCATCTGTTATTTTATACATTTAATTAAACTTTTTTCATGTTGGCACTAGAGCTAAAGTTCGTTGTTGTATTGTTTTTCAAGTTGCTCTGGTTGCTGTTACCCGCTTTCTGTTGGAGTTCATGCTTGGCTGATTGCCTCCGTCTGTTGTATAAGAGGCCAGTGCGATCACCCGATGACAACGACAGCTATAGCTGCCAGTACCGCACCAATGCCAATACATAATAATAACAATAATAATACCACCCCTACCACCTGCAGCTAAGTATATACCACAACAACGACCATGGTAGTTCATTTAATTTTTGCCATACTCTTGGCCCATAGTTAAAACTGTCCATATCAACATTATTTATGTAAATGAATGTGCCTATGCAAATACATATGTATGCACATACATATGTACTTACAAATGCACTATATATAGTACATATATGTATATACAAATACATTGTACGTACATACATAAGTACATATGTATATCCATACATACATTCGACATGCATACATACATACATATTTGTACATATTCATAAAGATACATATAACTTTTGTTGTGCTTATGAAATGGAACAAAACCTACAAATGAATATGTGCGAGCACATACATACATATGCGGAAGAGCGGGTGCAACACACCCGATTTTTCCAACAAAAGCATAGTTGCTGTTGTCATCGCTTCGCCGCAAAGTGGAAAGCACTGGAAATTGCTCCCGAAAACATGTGTTGCTTTGGTAATTGGTAATGGTGCACTTGCTGAACCGCTGCTGGAAAATTTGTCTGAATTTATTTACGTTGGCACGTACTTATACATACATAGGTATATGCGTTAAAAATATGCGTGCAAGTGCATTGCGTGCCCCAAGCGAGCTAAGAAAACTGACATAGTCGTATTATATATGTACATTAGGGTGTTTTTTTTGCGACTTGATTTTTTCACTCCTACTTACCTCGAAATTTTCTGGAAAACACCTAAAAAAACCATTAATAATAACATTAAGTACTTGCCCTAGGCGTGCAAAGATTTCACATATAAAATACACGTAAACTTTGATTGTTTTTCTTCAAAACTCTATAGCTCAGAGGCATTTTATGGTATAATCGTGGTCAATAATGGGTTTTGTTCTGAACTGAACGTTCTACGAAAGTGTTCATTGTGGCGTAACTCAAACTCCCATCAGCGAGTTAGTACGGGTCACTAAACCCAATATTTTTATGAAATTCCGGTTTTTTCCACTATCTCGTAGATAACGCGAGGTACAGAAAAATTACAAATTACAAATTTGTAGGTCATTCAATTTCCTACAAAAAACACCAAATCGCTAATATCGATATTTCTTGAGATATTGGGCTCGGAAATTGAGGTAGTGTGGAATTTTCATTGATTATTGAGCTAAATAGTGAAAATTGTTGATCAACTTCAAGGCCCAATAGCTCAAGAAATGAGGATATTAGCGATTTGGTGTTGTAGAACTTTTTTGTATGAAATTGAATGTCCTAAAAGTTTGTCATTTATATTTCTTCTGTAGCTGTTGTTATTTTCGAGATAGGCGCAAAAAACGAGAATATCATGAAAAAATTGGGTTTTGCGACCCGTACTACCTCGCTGGTGGGAGTTAGAATTAGGTACACAGCAATGGACACTTTTGTAAAGCGTTCAATTCTGAAGAAAACCCATCATTGATCATTGATTATACTAGAAAATTCCTCTGAGATATAGAACTTTGGAGAAAAACAATCAAAGTTTACGTGTATTTTATATGGGAAATCTTTGCACACCTTGGGCGAGTTGTTGTTGTTGTTGTAGCAGCATACAAATTCCCCAAAGACTTTTTGGGGAGTGTTGCTGGAGTGACAGTCCTTGGCCAGATATAAATCTGGGTCGTTCCGGTTACGTAGACCCGACTGTCGTGCGAGTACTTAGGGCTGGTTTCTCCTACTCAACTTAACTTAGTTAAGCCTTTTTTCTTGACTTAGTCAAGAATGAGCTGTGTAAAACGTAGGCTAACGTGGCTAAACTAAGTTAAGTTGAGTTAAAGAAACCAGCCATTAACGTTAATATTAAGGGGTCCAATTTTCAGGTAGTATTTTTAAGTGTTTTCCACAAAATTCCGACGTAGGAGTGAAAAAAACAATAGTCGCAAAAAAGGCACCCTAATGTACATACATATTTATATTAGACTGCAGAACTTATTGAAAAAAATCCCTTAGATGACAGTTTAAGCTTAAAAAATATGCATACAAATATTAAAAATTTGTTTCAACGTAATCATAATAATGAGGTTTGGATGCTGTTTTTTTTTTACCTTTTTCAAGGATTGGTTTAAGCAAAACTTGAATAACCGGGCCAAAACTATTAATTTACCCTGTGTACTGCGCGGCAAAGCTCAGATAAGTGAACTATCGTTACGTTGAGTAACTTGTTTTTTTTTTTAAGTGGAGAAAATTAAGCGTTTGTCTAACTAATTTTTGTTGATTTTTTCTCAATCATTTTTGGTATTTCAATTTTACTTTAAGACAGCTGGAGAAAACGGATGGAAGTGCCTCAAAGGTACTTCCTTCACGAACTTGAAAATAGAGGGAACAACAAAACTAAGTAACTACTACCTACTTGTTTTTGAGGGTGTCACAGGAGATATGTTGTGTTTATTTACAAATTATCCAGTACCTTGCCAGCAACTCTCCAGTAACTTAATTTCTGAGACTTCGCTCTCATAGTAAAAAATATTCAAAAAAGTACGCGAACGCTAATCCAGTAGTAATTTTCAAGTTTCAGATAAGTACAGCTGATAAATAGCTTGTTTATTCGCAGCAAATTCCAAATAAAACAATATATTTTAATTTAAATAGGTTTATTTTGCCAATTTTAACAATAAAAACAAATAAACAGTTTCCTTATTAGTTTAAGGCCCTTATTCTGTATCACGAACGATAGGCAGAACGAACGATTCGTCTGCAGACGACAACCTCTCTAATTGCGATTTTAAACTCTATCGGTCGTCTTCGTCTTGCTTTTCATACATTACGTTGCAGTGGTCTCGGTTGCATTCAAACCGGCTAAAATGATGCCGCCGGATAAATTTTTGAAGCATTCCTCTGCAGACGAATCGTTCGTGATACAGAATATGCGATCAACTGTTTTTCGTACTGGCAAATACTTACAAGTAAAAATTTATCCAGTAAAATCCAGTAAAAACTTGCAACTTCGGCTGCCATTTTTCGCTCTCTCAATTCCCCCTACTGTGCAAGTTGTTGTAAAACGCCAAAGCATGAACATTCGTAAAAACTTTTACTGGATTTTACTAGAAATGAGTATACAAACACAACTGTAGAAACCTTTCCTTATGACTTCACAATATATGGTTTTACGTTACCAGCACCATGCATCCCATTTAGGTGCTAGTACATATAATTACCGATATCATTCGTACCGATTTAGAAGGGACAGTGTCGATTTTCAGAAAATTGTCCCTCCGAATATTTTTTAAAAGTCGCGACCTATAAGTGTCCAGATTTTTCATATTTGTGCCGATTGCATATTTGTCCAGATTTTTCATATTTGTGCCGATTAAAGCCTGATTTTGATTCTAATTTTTTTTAGGGTTTTTATATTTATTTGTTAATTATTATTTTTTTAATTAAACGGGTTTAACTTGAATTTAGTGAAATTATAAAAAATAATAAATACTAATTCCCTCAAAAAAATCATGGATATGAAAAATATTAGCTGCAGATAGATAGATAGTTGAATATGACACTACGACCGGTTGGTCTATTGTTCCCCTAGCTCATCACAACACCTCGACTAACCCCAGAGTGTCTATAAATTTCATAATATACTCCGGGGACAGTGAGTATATGTGCTCCTCTTTGGCCAGACGGCCTCACACTCCATAAGAAGGTGTAGGGGAGTCTCCCTGGCCGCGTCGCAAAAGCGACACAAGTCTCTGGACTAGATACCTAGTTTATACCGGTGCCCTCTGAGCCTACAGTGGCCAGTCAAAAAACCTGTAATCTGTATCTTATCAGAGTGAATAAGCTGTAGATATAGTGCCGAAATTATACATAGGCAAGAGACAATTTAGCATTGTTTGGCTATTCCATTTTCGATTATTTAATGCTTATTTTGTATTATCTAACAAAGACAATGCAAGTCAAAATTTCAAACCTTGCACAAAAATTAGCTAAATTGGACAAAGTTGCATCAGAATTTTGAGTTTTTTAATTCGATTTCTTAGATGGGCTACAAAACTGCATACTCAAGACAATTCTAAAAAATCTTATTAAAATGTTTAAAATTTTGATCAACATTTGTCAAATTTCCTGAAATTTTTATAAATAGTCTACAGTTTGAAATTTTGATTTGCATGTTTTTTTTTTATATAGTAAGTTGTATTTTCATAAAAAATTAATAAACATTTTTTAAACAATGAAAATTAGTCAAAACTTGCTAAAATGTATTTTCCCTATTTACATTTTCGCCACCGTATATCTTGTGTGTATACATTTCTGCGATAATTTTTCAATTTTTTCTCTTTTTTCTGTTTGAAATAAAACTGTATTAAAAGATGTTTTATCTAAAAAAGCAAAATTGTATGTTCAGATTCGATGCTTTAGAAATGTCCAGAATTTTGGCCACAGAAATCTTGTACATATAATACCAATAACAACTGATTTATTTAAGCTCCACAACACCCGAGTCGAATTTGAAAGGAAGCTTAATATCCCTACCTCTTAAATTATTTGTTACCGCCCTTGGCTTAGCTGCACTAAGTTCTATAAGACATTTGTCGATAATTCATAATAAAATTGTTTATTCAACTTTCGTATTGTCTCCAATATTAGTACACTTGCCGTGAAATGG